TGTATAATGTCTTGTGACGTCCACGGCCTACCCCAGTTACCACTACTGAGCATGTGTGTCAAGGACAGAAAGGCAGATGTGGCAGTGGAATGTGTCAAAACAGTTTGGAGAGAAAAACAAAGTAAAGAACAACAACAAAAAAAAGCGACTAATCGACTATTAAATTAGTCATCGACTATTTTAATAATCGATTAGTCATCGATTAATGGACTAATTGTGGCAGCCCTAGTAAACATGCAYCTGTTGGTCGGATGTTGTTTCCCGGGTCACTGTAATTAAAGCCATGMCTGCTTCTCTTCTCCGGCTCCACCTGCCTGCTACTGTTCAGCTAACGTTAGCATCTATCTGCAAGTCTCGTCTCTCTCAGGTGGAGGAATCAATAAACATCTTTCTGCTGGTTTTTCTTCTCTGACGGCTGGTTTTTAAAAAAATCTGCCAGCTTCAATATTGTTCCCAGTTCTTTCTCAGACTCGTTCTAACAAAGAAAGTAATTTAATTTCGAGCATCGCTCCAATTTCTGCTGGATCTGAATTAAAKTTTTGCCGATATCCAAGTCCCACCTCCATCTGATTTTTRMTTGGCTTGTAGGCCTGTCTAGTGTGTTTAAAGTGAAAGCTTATAGCTCTTATAGGTCCAGGGAAATGTCTGTTAAACATTTGGCTGGGCAGGTCTGATTTTAAGCCGTAAATCTGGCACAGTGCTGGAATACTATCAGCCCTGTATATAGCATTGGGTTCTAACATTCCCAGTTTGAAAGACCTCAGTGAAGTTAGTTTCAGGTTGGATAAAATAGTCAGCCACCTAAGTTTTCTAATTATCCTCCGACTCCTGAAAGTTTTGAACCCCCTGCTGCTAAAGAACCAAATACTTGCAGTGTTCTGACTCGGGACGTGATCCAGCATTAATGCCAACCTGTGAGTTTCACTTGTTCCTCTCTGTTTGATCATTCCCTCAGAGTGTTTGTCTTTTTAATTACTTCAGCCACTCTAAACTCAGAGGTCCTCTGAGCAGGACTGTTTGCACCCTCCTCCACAGCCTCTAATCTGTTCTGTGGTTTCAACACCCCCTGACTGTTTCCATCGCTAAATGTTTGTCTTTGCCACATGAAGGAAAYGTTTTCTGGTTGTACCTGGAGGCGGGGCCTGAGGGTCTCCAGGGGCTTCGTGCTGAGCCGCTGGAGGTGCAGGAGCTGCTGCTGGGTTCTGCTGTTGCTGCTGGTAGTACAACTGGATGGGGAGAGGGATGGCCCGCCGCCGTATTCCCACCAGGAGGATCTGAACCTGGCTGCTGACTTTGGCCTCCTCCTGTCGTCTCATCGAGTGGTTGGGGAACACGGTCCTGTGGAGCAGGAAGAAACGTCTTTTTTAAGTAAATCAACACAAGCCGTTAGTATAAAAAAATGAAGTAGACTTTGAACTATGGACGGACCGCAGACATTTGAGGAAGCCAGTTGAGTTCAGGATGTTGCTTCGGCCCATTTTGCTGCACGTGGTGAGGTACTCTGAGTACATTTCTGACCGAGACACGGAGCCCTCAGGGTTTGTCTCGAAGTGTGCGTTTAGCCTGTTGGTCCACGAGGAGAAAGGGTTAAATCCTGCATCCTCTCTGTGTTTTCCTTCAGGGGAAAAAAAATCATCCCGACTCTTGTACAAAATGAATCTCACCACTGCAGCGTGAACTTCTCCCCATCTAGTTCAACAATGCCAGGAGGTGGTAGACTGGACTGGACTGGGACCCTCGTTACTGAAGAAAACAAACAGAAACTAGGTTATAAAAACATTTGGTGTGGAGTAAGTCTGTCCCAATAAAGCCTGCAGTGACACAAGTCGGCCACTAGATGTCAGCAACCTAATAACTTGACAGAAGATCAGTGATGGAGCTGAAAGTTTTACACCTGCTGATTTTTTTTTGTTTCAAACATTGAGCTCAGTGGGATTTAGAAACAAAACGTAACTCTTAGTTTGAGTTGACACATGTGTGTAAAGCTGTTTTATAAGTGGGGTTTCAGTCTGGTCTACAGACTCAAATCAGTACGACAAACGTCTGTCTGGTTTCCTGTTGGGTTACCTGTGGTGATGMTGATCTAAGTTTTACAGGAAATACATTCCAGGGTTCTTTCTTCTAAACTAAACTGCACCAGTTAAGTTWAAAAAAATCTAACTTTATCATCTGCTCAGAAACACTCACCGGGTGCCGGCGCTCCCTGCACGGCGGCGGGAACCTGCTCCACCAGCTGCGGTCGGACCTCAGCCGCCTGGTCGGAGTTYGCTTGATGCTCGATCAACCGTACCGCTGTCAGGGCGTCGGGTCCGAACGTGTGCAGGTCCACTGAGACTAACCGCACTAAGAGGTCTGAACARGGAGACAGAATTTAAATGCCATTCAAGTTTCACCGAGCGTCGCCAGTACGGCTTCCAACGGGCGGATTYGCACCTATGCTGCGGTCGACTGAGGCGATCTTGCTGCAGGGCACCTCTCCCAGCTGGGCCAGCAGGTAGAGCACCTCCAGGGAGGCCATGAGGAGCAAGAGGTCCGGCAGAGTGAGGAGCATCATCACCTCCCTGTAMGACTCCTGGTCCACATACTCACAGATCAACACGCCATTATCGTCCGCTTTGCTGAGGTTACCCAGGATCTCCATGGCTGCGAGACAAAAAGACACGCGGATCAGGAAACGTAAACCATTTATCTGGATTGACACAAACACAGCTGCGGTAAAACCCCACCTCGCATTTTCAAGAAGCGGTCCCTGGACATCAAGCATTTGGTGATGGTGTGAAAGATCAGGTGCGTCGTCCGAAAGTCTACAGGATCCAGCTGAAGCTGCAACGAGTCGGAGGATTAGAATCTTGTTAGCAAGAAGAATACCGCCGCTGCTCTGGGAATATGCTACTAACAAGTGATCAGGGCCCATATTCATAAAACTTCTTAAGAGTAGATTTTTAGACTTAAGTGCTGAAAATTCCTTAGATTTGCTCCTACTCTCAGACTTAAGTGTAAGTGCCAGTTATCAAAATTCTTAATTCTTAAGTCTAAGAATCACTCTTATTCTCAAGAAATGTTAAGACTGCTCCAGAGGACTCTTAAGTGGTTAATTAAGAGTTGCCACTAGGGGTCTGAGATGGACTGAAGACAGAGATCACACAGAGGACACAGCTGTCCTCCTCCCCACCTGAGTGTTTTTCTCAGTTATAAGGTGGAAACAGGTTTAATCAGAAATATAAAAGAAAGACCCCCCCCCCCCCCGATTTAAACATTAAGCTGTCTGATCCTAGAACAGTGTGAGAGGTAAGTAGGCAGCTGATCATGCTGCTCATGTTTTGGCTGTGGCATCCAGGCACAGGTGCTTTGAATAATCTGATGGTTGGTTGAGCAACCAACAATACTAACTGCCAAAGTTTCAGTTCCTGACCAACTCTTGCTGCACTAAAACAAGGAGATTCACTTTCAGTTTTGTCCTGGAACCCATAAATATTAATTGCTGGTCTTGTTTTTAGCTGTGTAAGGTTTCACCCCAGTCACCGTTTGGTAAAACGAGAAAAAGAAACAAATTAAAAAATATTTTACTTATAAAACAGACACTAACTCTCCAAAAGGCAGAGAAAATAAAAAAAATAACAATTAGTGTGTTGTCATAAATATTATGTTCATAAATTTTTGTAAAATGCAGTTCAAATGTGTGCCTGTGACTGACATCAGTTTAAAAACACCTACACCAAACCATCACAGTAAAAATACACATGGATCACTACACCACTACAAGAAACAAACCAGGCTAAAGTTTGCACCTTGGGTTCCTTCAACTTTTATKTTTTTATTTCTAAAAACTGATAAACAAAAAACCCTGATCATTCATTTACACYAATCTCACACTCGTGCTTCAAAGATTGAACAGATCTGACTTTACTCTACTGGATGTCTTTACTTTGACTATTAGTGTTCATAGAGGAAAAAAAACAAAACACCTTATTTAACTGCATAAAATACTATTTTATTCATGTCTTCTTCCAGTGTTTCACTTACTAATATCCAAAGAGAATAATGGCAGTAGCCATTCTCTACAATGTAAAAGCAGAGCATCACCTAGTGGGCTAATATAAAATTAAAAAATATAGGGATAGAGGTAAAAAGAAAAAGAAAAAAAAACTATAAAAGAAAAGCATTATTTTGTGATAAAATAAATATTGGGTCAAATAATGAATTTATAATGATTTGAATTTATGATGTACTATAATTTATGAAATTATAATGGACTCAGGTACATTTGTTCCTAAAAGAAGTCTGGAGTGTAATGAAGTTATTTCTGACAAATTCATTAAAAATAAAAACAAGTTATTTACTTGATAAAGCTATTCTTGACTGTCATAAACGTGGGAGATTTGCRTCAAGATTCTATGCTGAGTTACAAATGCTAAGAAAAGATAACTTGGAGAATTTACGATCAACCTGGAACAGAACTCTGAAAAGCACAATTGATTCAGAAGCATGGGAAGACATCTTGACCCTGCCTTCCAGAATCTCAGTATGTAACCGATATAAAGAAATGCAATATAATATTTTACACAATGTATACATATCTCCATACATATATATAGCAAGTACACACCAGGAAGCTCTCCAAACTGCCCTAAATGTAAAGTAGCTACAGGAACTAGAATTCACTGCCTATGGGAATGTAAAATTATAGAGGCATTCTGGCAGGCAGTGTGTCGCGAAATCAACTCTGCTATAGGACAAACAGTGCATTCTGGTCCAGTGCTTTGTCTACTTGGACTCATACCCACTCACCTGGGTACTCACAAAGAAACTGTGCAATTCTTATTAATGTTGGCCAGAAAAGTAATAATGGTTAAATGGATAGGTTGTGATGCCCCATCGATCCAGCTATGGAAAAATCTATTTTCTGAAATGATTGTATTAAAAAGATTGAGATACTGTCTGGATGGAAAATTTTATACCTTTAAAAGAAGATGGGAACACGTTCTTAAATATTTCAAAATTAACAAACCAGTAAAGTGAACCTAAATGACATGTCATTGAGTCTGTAGCTCAACTGGTGCCTGTCAAGAGAATGCTGTGACTTATTTACATGCCTCCAAACTTTCTCTTCTGATTCTGGCAGCTGTGTTGTGTAAGTGTTGTCTTTTTTTATTGTTGTTTATATGTTTGTATGTCTGTATAAATCTCAAAATGCCTAATAAAGATAGTATGAAAAAAATAAAAACAAATAACAAAAATTAATTAATTCAAAAAAATGAGGCTATTTAGGCAGTGGTGGGTACAGATCTGCTAATAGCAAAGCTAACATGTTGTTTAGCAAAATAATGTTTTGGCTCAATTTAAAAGAACATTAGCAGATCAGTTAGCATCCGCTAAATTGAATTTTGCTAAAGTTAAGTTACATAACAAAATTCACAGGTTGGTTCCTGTCTGTTGTGGTAATTTTTCCGGGAAAAAAAATCATACATACAGCACTACTAGTTTTGTTAACTCGTTTAGCAGTTTAGTGTTAGCTAAGTAAGTTCTTAGTTGACAGATTAGCAAAGGTAACTTTTTGGTAAACTGCGCTCACCACTGTATTTAGGCTTTGTCGGAAAACTTGTTTACTGACACCAAAGCACAATTTTGAAACTCTGTGTCCGATGAGCACTCACCTCTGCAGCCACGTTGCCCAGCGTGTCTAGTCCGAGCTGTCGGAGTGAGATGAGGTTACAGTGGGCGCAGAGCAGGAGGAAGCGCAGGCACGTTCGGTTGGCCGCCAGCAGCTTGACGTTCACCTCCTCGAATGAGAGGTTTCGCAGGATGACGGCGACCTGCAGCACCCGCTGGGCCTCTACGTCGTTGATACCTGGGTTCCGCGGTGGGTGGAAGAGGCTCGGCCAGCGCTCCTCACACGACGTACCGTCTAAAGAGCCCAGGGGGTGAACTTAGAACCAGGCTGTTTCAACGTCAACATGCAGAGTAAAATTCTGCAGGGCTTAGGACAAAACGTTTACCTTGTGTTGCACTGCTCTTGTCCCAGATCAACTCTCTGACTTCAGCGTCCTCCACCACCTCTTTCCAGAACTGTAACACAACAGAGGTGCTTTACTTTCTCATAAACGACCATGGTGAGGAAGTTTAATGAAGTTTTTTAATGAAATTAAAAAAAGACCAACCGTTTTTCTGTTTTTGGATTATAAAATAAAAATAGAATAACCACCCGTTTTTTTCAATGTTTTTAAACCAAAAGCAAAAAGTCCACGGACCGAAGAACTAAAGCCACACTCGAGGGTTAAAGCGGTGTCGGGCTGTGAATGAGTCATTCTTGGTGTCAGACAAACAGTGAGTAAGACCGACAACGTCCAGCTCATGAGTCAAACGTCTTTTTTTTTATTTCAACTCCTCGTGGAACATTGCAGCTTCCCACAATGCAACATGACAGCTGTCAGATATTTTAGTTTGAAGCTAGTAGTGGCCTTAAGCTGCTGCTAGCTTCGAGCAAAAAATAAGGACAGAGCTGTAGAGACATTTTCACACTCATGTTCCAACTAAACTTCTTTACGGTTATTGCTGGAGTAAGCACTAATGAGTAAAACAGGCAAAATAATAAGTGAAGAACCATTAAAAAAGATAAAATAATGAGAATAATAATAATATAAATAGCTCAGATGGCAGCTCAAAGTTCAGTTGGAACAGGAACAGTGTTTTCTGTTGGCTTCAGGCCTCTTTAAACTGGATGATGACCTCGCTCTACACAACATCTAACATGGTTAGTCTTTGAAGGTCTTGGTGAGGTCCTCAGGTCTGTTTTATAAACATTGTTTGGCCCTCATAAGGGTTGGTAAGTCGTGGAGGGGTTTGGGTTAGCACAAAGAACACAGTGGTTTTATTATTGCCGTGGCAGCATATTAAGGTCCTGAGGGGGTCACAATCGCTGTTCAGACAAGACCACAAAACTGCGAAACATGCTGTAGTTTCCACGTCGGACCATTTACTTTGTATTTCAACACAAATACAAAGTTCGACATTGTTGCTTGGAGCCACACTGAGGTTGTTGATGCAATGTTTTATTTTAAATCATAAATCTATTTTAAAAAATCATGTTTTATCCATGTTTTTTGTATCACAGTTTAGAACGCATGTGGGAACGCTTCCACTGGAATTGCGGCTTTTTGCAATATGCCGCCAGGAGCTGCAAAAAAACTTTTGCAGCATGATCTGGATTTAAAAAGTCTAGCTGTCAGAGAATCCCATTGCTCTTGTCATGTAGATGAGATGCAACACATTTATTCCAGTTACACTTTAGAGCAGCGTCATCTAAACTGGGCCTGGTCAGGGGTCTGCTCCTAAAAACAACATCCAGAGCTGCAAAGCATGTTTTAAATAAAAATAACTCATTCAATGCTTAAAAATACTACATTTAAAAATATTTGATTGTTTCAATTGAAGATATGCAAGAAATTGTTGACATTTTAACAGTAGAAGAAAAATAACATATAACAAGATATATGATGATATAACTTGTCAAATAAGAAAAAAATAATTAGAAATAACAACAACAACAACAACAACAACAACAACAAAAAGAAGAATACTAATCAAATAAGAAAAAATGTATAATAATAAATAATAGGAAATATGATAGTAAAAAGAAAAATAAAAAGAAGAAATAATTAGTAATGAAAAAATACCAAGAAGAAAAAGAACAAATATTTACCCTGACAAAATCTCGGGATGTTTTCTCCTTCCAGTCTGTCCCAAACACCCCAGAGAAGCTGCCTAGTGCTAGAATTAAAAACAAACAAAAAAAAGTTAGCTCACTTTTCTGTTCTCCACTTCCCCTTGCATATATCCTGTTTGAAAAACGAATGAACCACAGATGCTAGAACTATTTGTTCAGATATTTGTGGGGTGCCCAACGAGTACTTACAGTCATCGAAGACGCCGGCGTGGGCCAGCAGCAACGTGACCAGTTTGGGGTCTTTTTCCAGCTGCATGGCGTGTTTGCTCTCGTTGGAAAGCAGAGTGCAAACGTTGACGGCGAAGTCGACTTCATTGGGGAGGCTCGAGAGGAGAGACAGCACCAGTTTGTTGTAGTCGCACGGCTGAACAAAATCCGAAGACAGTCCATAACTTTGGCGAAGATAGTCTGGAAAGAAAGGAAAAGACAAAAACGGCTGCAGGTCACAAGAGGTTTCACAGCAAAAAAACTTAAACATTGTTAAACAGCTGCTTAACTTTAGCTTTAGGATGGTCAAGGTTTTTGGATGAGTCAACTTATCTGACTGAGAATGTTCATTTTTAAAGATGTCTATTCTACGGTCAGCTTTTTATAATTAATATATTTTGAACCTGAAATTTTAGCTGTGTGGGAGAGAAGATGTGCTTTAGACCAGATGAACCAGAGGAATACAAACAAACATCTATAAAATGAAAGTACAATCGGACAATAAAAGCCTTTAGTGCCTGAAACATTTTCATTTACCTAAAAAGAAGCTTCTTTAGTTTGATGCAGGGTTAGTTTTTTTTTTTTTTCCTGGAGGCTAATCACAACAGAGACAGTGGTCCTGTCGTGGCAATTTGATTTTCAAACTTGGAGGTGTGTGGGTTTTTTTTTTTTTCAGGCTGAATTCATTCAGATTTCCAGTTTCTACTGGAGCAGAAATAACTTAATCCAAAAGAAAGTTTGTCTTCTAAAGCAAGCAGAGAGAATCTGACAACTGCTGAACAAAGTCTCCTGTGAAAGACACGGTTACATGAACACAACGGCATCTCAGTTCTTACTGGTCTCAAACAACAGGGTGAAAGGGATATTTTAGACATTGTGAAAAAGACTTCTGTGAAGCAGGCTAAGGATAAAGAATTTAAGTTTTTATTCAACAGAATGAGCTCTGGGACATATAAACAACAATAAGACTTAAGTATCAGCAATATCTAAATTCAGAATAAGCTCAAAGATATGAAAACAGTGAGTTAGTCCTAATAATGGTTCCCCTTTCTCTCATTTCTACCCCACATCTTTAAGTATCTTTAACGTGGCTGAAGRTCAATGCAAACAGCCAGCCATGCTGTGTACCAACCACACTGTTGTTAAACAGTAACTAAACCCAAATCAAATTTCTTTTGCAGATAAACTCTCTAAATTGGACCTTGACGGTATTATCTATATATTTCTGTGATATTTTTCACATTTTTGTGTAAATGTTTAATTTCTGCAATATGTGGTCTAAAATCATCTTGGTGCTGCCCTCTATGGGCCAAACGGTGGATACTGCAGTTGCTTTACCTATTGGTTAAAACAGCACTGCTTGGTCCATGGTAACGTCACAGTTCCTGTGTTCAGGTATAAAAGCCTCTCTCAGAGATGTCCCCGCARTGAGTCGAGGGTTGAAACAGCGAGCACTGTGATATTGCTTTTAACAACATCAGGTTAGCAGTAACGCTAACAATACTTCAACACTCAGAAACTCGACCCATTCTGTCCTCCATTGCCTCGGCAATACCAGATTAATGCATCACTCAGACCCACTTGGCTCGACGGCCTCCCTCAACCCCTGGCGAGGGGTGGCTGTTCATCTCCTGGCTGACTGACCAATTCGATGGGTGGCCGTATTCTATCAGAACTCGGACATTTTGCCTTGAGCGAGCCAGACTCGGTCTGCAAGCGGTTCTATTGAAGGTCGCGGGCCGGCTGTGGTCCCTGGACTTTGCTGGGCAGATGGAATTGATCTGGGAGGAAGCTGATAGATTCGGGCTCAGCGGAATTTGTCCACTCCATTTTACCTGATTGGGATCGCCAACCTTGAGAGTACCAGCAGGAACTCTAAAGCAGATGGAAAATTGTTGTCGTCTGCTTGTCTCTTTGTTCCCAATACAACTGATTACAGAATCTGGATCTCCCAGACAACAGCCTTGGGAATGTTGACTAAATTCTTCCTGGCTAGATGTGTCGACAAAGGCTCTGCCCCCCACCTTCCCCCCTCCTCTTGCCCGTCTAATCTGCTTATCCAGATCTAGCTGATAGCTGCACAGAAATGAACAGTTTCCATCAATATTTCTGAACTATAGCTGCGCTGGTTTTGGGGACTGGATTCTTCGGGCCCCCTTAAACTCACTCACTCCTCTGGCTAATAAACTTGCTCTATGTAGAGGGCTTTTTTTTTCATAAACACCATAGTGTGTCACAGTGTTGATATAATATGATGTTTTTGCTTTTTTATTCATCTTCCCTTCCCTGTGTGATTTTCAGTTTTTCTTCRTTTCTAAGTTGGCGCCACAGCAGGCTGCCTGTTACTGCAACTCCACTGTTTTGAGTTGCTGTAATGTACAAATTTCCCCACTGTGAGATCAATAAAATTCTATCTTATCTTATCTTATCTCTTATCTTAATAAAAATCATAATAAAAATCATAAAAAAAATCATAATAATAATAATAATAATAATAAGCTTCTCCTCCTCTGACCCTTCACTCAACAACACTGCTTTAACATTGAATAAAAACAACAATTTTTCCAGCTATCACTGTTGCTGCAGATGGGCAGAACAGAGAAATAATATTTTAGAACCAGCAGCACAGCGCCTTCAGCCCGTTTAACTGCTCGGTCCGAAATCGGAGAGACAGTCCGGGTAGTTGCTTTCTCCACTCTGTGTGACTGGTTCATATCTGTACGGCTGGATGTTTTTATTCCTTAGTTTCATGGCAAAATCTGATTCAGTATCATAGGTGCGCATAATAAGTCATATTATTTGACATCTTTGACGTTACATAGCAACAACTGTTTACCTTAGCAACAAAAATTATGATTTTGGGCTCTTCTCCGTAGCTCCATTTAGCAGGTGGAAAATTGTATTTCTTAATATTTTTTCATTACAGTTGTAAATAATTTAAATCACAATTTTAAATAAAACATTACGAATGCAAAATATGCAAAAGACACATTTTTTGGGGCTTTTTCCTTCATTTCACCTTTAAGAACAGGCAAGTCTAAGGTAGACAGGGATGGGTTTACTGTTTGTGTTAAACCAGAGTCTAAAAACATCCGGCTCTTTATGGGCTGCAGCTCTGGACTTTTGGATCTAATAACATTTGAGTTCAGTTTGTATAAACCGTGTTGCTGTAACATGTAACCATACCAGCTGGAGTTTGGAACTTTACACAGAATGAGAGAGCAGGGAGACTGTAGCATAAAGTGTTTTTGTAGAGTTTTTTTTTACCTGTATTTAAGACTGTTGAACTGTATTGAACCACCCAATATGTGGGAAATTTTCCAGTTATTACAAATAATATGTAGTGGTCACCTAGGGGTGGAATAAACATTCCACCTTTCTTTGTTCGAATTAAAGTTATATGTTTTCTTATACAGTAAAGAGACATTTTATTTCATTTTATTTTCTTTAATCAAGATAATAAACAAAATAACGTTTTATATGTTTGATTATTTTTTTCTCAACTAAAATTATCTCAACTAAAAGTTATCATTTTGTAAATCAAAGTTACATACTTAAATGAATGACAAGCTATTTTCTTTCATTATAACTCAGAAAAGAAAAAACACAAAAAGATATTGTTCCAATATTTCTTTATTTGTGTGTTTTAATCAACCGTTATTTGAATATAAGGTGATTATGTTTTTCTGTTTTATTTTCAATTCAGCTAAACAATAATTATAATCCAGTTTACTATGTTTTACTATGAAAAATGTATGATTGTTGTGCTTACGTTTAAACAAAATCTTAAGTTTATGTTGATTTGAAAAGCTCACGCTTGGTTCATTTTCAAGTCTTAAAACCTGCTAAGGTTTTAGCTGTTTTTAACAGGTGTTTTTGCTGACGGAGGCAGCATTCACCAGACGAATGGAACTCTCCCAGACTAAACTTCACCTCCATCTTTTACTAACAGCTTCAAGGCCATGCCCGATAGTACCTTCTCTCCTCTCCCCCTCCTTTAGTTACTAACAACGGGCGTACCTACCAGACAGTCTCCATCTTCTCTTTGAAGCGAGAAGAGCTGAGTTTTTCCTCCTCAGGAAAAACCAGCATTCAGGTGATAAAACCTTTGCCCATTTGCGAAAGGGCCGGTCTTATCCAGGGTCACGACATGCCAGTCGTGAACCCCATTACCAGCAAACTCCCAGGAAGTTTCGTTCAGAACTTCTGTGAGACGCTTTTATTTTTGATCCAAGGAACCTGTCGGTTGTGACACTCCATGCGAAGCCAAGAGACCACTAGACCCGAGGTAATCAAACTCTTGAAGTCTAAATGCCTGGAGAGCTTAACATTTCTGAGCGGGCCTTTCGTTGACTGGGTGAGACTCCTCCACGCCTAAACCTGACTGTGAAGTCTTCAAAGGTAATGGCTGACCGTTTGATTAAAGAGCGTCTGAGTCCGGGCTGTGCCGAGCGAGACTTCCCAAAACCACCTGGCTCCTCACCTTGATAAGATAAAATCTAGTTCCCTTCCTTAACAAACCCTTTCCTTCCTAAATTCTTAATTCTTTCCCATATCCTGTCAAAATCTTTAAGAATAAGTGCCTCAACAATGGTTTATTCAACATCTAAAAGCCAAACGTTGTTGTTCCTGATAAAGTTGTCAAAATAACGAGATTTAACACATTCGCGAGTTAAATGTTATTAATTTCAACTTTTGTAAACATCTGATCATCCCTCAATGAGTCTTGTTTATAAGTAATTGTTTTTGTAAATAAATATTTATTTTAGATAAGACTTTACCGACTACGTTACTCATTGTTTAGTTCCTGATAGTTTCACAGAAAAGGTATTATCTGTATTAAAGAACTCTCAATTCCTCATAACTAAGATATGAGAAGGATGTAGACGTAAAACTCCTACAAATACACACAGGAAATCAGGCTTTATTCGTACAGTTCCATACTGAAATTTGACTTTACAGTTAGATTTACAATTTGTTAGAAGGATAAACACTGAATTAAAAACTACGAATAAAGTGTTTTTTGTTTAAAAATGTGGGAATGAAAGGGTGAATGACTGTAGTGTGAAGCACTTCGGAGTCCATTAGTATTGACTAGGGATGTCCCGATCAGATACTCTGTATCGGTATCAGGTGCAGATATGGCCATTTTTTGAAAATCGGGTAGAATCGGATGTAGTCATGTGATCGGGCTGGTCCAG